GTGCCACCTCCCACATCGTCATCACTACCACCACCACGACGCCACCACTACCATCACCACCACTGTCACCAACCACCACTACCGTCTTCACCACCATCGCCGCCCCCGCCGCCACCGTCACCACCACCATCGTCACAGTCATTACCGTCATCACCACCACCATCGCCACCATTACACCAACGCCACCACTACCATCACCAAGCCATCGCCACCATCACCACCACCATTGTCACCTACAACCACCGCCGCAGCCACTGCCACCACCACCACCATGATGCCTTCACAACCACCACCACTATGTGACTGCTACCATTGTTGCCGCCACCAACCACCATACCCACCACCATTGTCGCTGCCACTGCCGTCACCTCCACCACCACCATCCCCACCACTACCACCGCCGCTGCCACCATTATCATTGCCATCGTCGCAGCCACTGCCGTCACAACCACCACCACTATCTTCACCACGTCACTGCCACCACCACTACCGTGCCGCCGCCGCCGCCACAACCACCACAACCACACCATATAGAAAGGAAAGAGTTGATCCGAAATTTTTTTATATTTAATAAGAATTATTTTTTATTATATTATTTGTTGTGTTATCAAACACAATTCTCATTCTCGGAATAAAAATGGAACATGTTATCAAACACATTTTTTTTCTCAGAAACTGTTCCAAGGCACAGAAATAGAAAAGAATTGTTTCTTTTCAGAAACAGTGCTCGGAAATAGAATGGTTGTCATGCACACCCTTAAATGGCATGGGTTGAAAAATACAAGAACGAACTAAACCCTTGAAATTCTATTTTACCTATGCTATCCTAGCTAGAATAGAACATTGTGATTAAAAGCACAGGTTAACATAAATAAGAAGTTAGAACTTAAGATAATACAAAACTAAGGAGTTACCTATGTTGAATTTGAATTTTATTATTAGAAAATAGGAACATAAAACTTAACGAACTATTTTTAAAATTAGTTGTTAGTTAATGACGCAAAAATAATTCTGTATTAAATATAGGGAAAACTTCAAAAATCCCCTACAAGTTTTCTCAAAATCACTTAACCCCCTCCCCAAAAATTTTAATCATTTACTCCCTTACTCAAACTTTTTTTTATCACTTATCCCCTAATTTGATTTTCCATCCCAAATTTTGTTAAATTTTTTAAAAGGTACCAAAATTACCCTTAATAAAAAAAAACATAATTTCCTCACAAACATCATTTTTTAAAAGGTACCAATTGTAAAACTTTATGTTTTATCATAGCTAATTCTTGAACCGCAAGGTGATTTAAGGGGACTAAGTGAGAATACCTCCTTGTTATAATAATAATAACAAATGATTTGATATAAAACTTGCCACAGTTACAATTTTTTCTTCGAAACAAGACTTGGAACTTGGAAGCCTCATTGTATGTCAATATTAGCATTTGTTGGTGAATTTTGTTTTGAGAATGTGAATTATATTATAAATTTTTCGCTATATATCAGTTAAATAGATGGTGTGAGTGGAGCAAGTGTTCTGCATATATACCGACCCTGGTCCATATTTTTGTATCTCCCATTTTTGTTCACAGATACATTGAACCTCATGGGTTTTGATAAAAGTAGGCTTGTTAATGAAGTAGGTTTTTTTGCCAAACTCTATGATAGTACTCAACTTTCGCAACATACCTCGCGGGTTTTACAATAAAAAATCCAAACTTTCTCTGCAGGAATTAAAATATAAAAAATAGCATCCTACTTGTTTCGTATATATGAATATTTTAAACGTAAATTTATAACAATTGTTTGCAAGCTTAATATTAAGCAATCATCCCTTAAATTAAAAATACATATTAAACTAGGTACAAAGTAGTTTGTGAGGAAATTATGTTTTTCTTTTTTCTATTAAGGATAATTTTGGTACCTTTTAAAAAATTTAACAAAATTTTGGATGAAAAATCAAATTAGGGGGTAAGTGATAAAATTTTTTTGAGTAGAGGGGTAAATGATTAAAATTTTTGGGGAGGGAATTAAGTGATTTGAGAAAACTTGAAAGGGGGATTTTTGAAGTTTTTCCTTAGATCTATTGACGGAATAAATCGTTAGTGTACCAAATACATTGAACTCAGTGTATTTGCCTATTTGTTTTGTAAACGTAAATAAAAAATATCACGTCATTAAAAAAGAATAGATGATGTGATATTTTTTGTTCACATGTCATAAAATGAATGGACAAATGCACTAAATATTTATTCCTATTGGTTGGGGGGGGGGGGTTAGAGATATTAATATAAAATTATTAATGTGATTTTATTTATAAGTTTATTTTTATTTTTTTGATTTAATTGGTTGTATTATACAATGTCAAAGCTTTGACTAATAGTCACCAACAATGTTATAAAAACCAGGCCTTTGATTCGATTGAGATATTAGGTTAGTAGGTCACTAATCCAATCGGTGAATCACAAGTTGAACCAGTTGATTAAAATTTATAAAGAAGTATGTAACAAATATTATAGTTATGATAAAATATCTCAAACGAGGGATTGACATATTGTTGTCTCTTATTTTATACTATGTCACCCGTATTTGAGTCTTCGACTTCGGTTCAATCATTAAGCCAGACTAACTTTTTATCGGTTGAACCCCGGTTGTAGGCAGGTCACTGGCCATTATCGGTTCACATGCATATGTGGTCCGTTAATCAAACCAGATTGATTGAGAGTTCGATTTTAGGGCAACCAATGGACCAGCCGGTCTGATTTGATTTTCACCGCATTGTTCTCAAGTTCAAACCTATAACCCTATTCTCTAATAAATTTTTAAAAAAAGTAAGTAAGTTAAAATCACTATTAATTTGTTTCTTAATAATTAAGAATGTTTTATATGACCTGATCTCGTCAAATCATACAAAATTTACTCCGAAATTGTCTGAATGAAAAAATGAGCCACTCATCGTTAAACAACCAATAAGATTAAGGATTATATTTATCTTATTTAATATGAGAAAAATTAAATTCATACACACACATAATAAAAATGGATCTCACCTCTATTTTTTTTTCTCCAATTATTTGTGAATCTCTTTTATAATTTTATTTCACCAATATAAGATAACTTATCTCCAACAACGTAAGAAAAACATTTCCCCTGAATGTTTAGTAAAGGAGAAATTTTTTTACCGAGGAAAAAAAATATCCTGAAATATGGTAGGCACTTTTTTTTTGATAAAATTACAAAAAAATATTTGGTAGGCCAAAATATTTTCAAAAATATTAAGTGAATTTTAATATTGAAAAGTTTGGTTGATAGTAAGATTTTGTTGGGATTTTGGACATAATTTACAAATCTACACTCAATTTTAAATATTCACGCTCTTTTTAACCACTTCGATATCTCATTACAACGTTTACATAAGATATTGAGGGTAAATATGTCTGCAAATTTACATTCCGTTTTCCAACCAACCTGGATTCTTCAAATTCCACATTTTCAATGGCATTCTACGTGGAGATGATTATGTGTTATTTCAAAACCTGAGAAAAAATTTGTCCAGCCTAATTTTACATGTTAGTGTACCAAACATGATCATATTATATTGCCATATTAACTTTCCAGGGAAAAAAATATATATATCTATGTACCAAACATCACCTAAGATTAATTATGTTATGTTTACTTGCTGAACTCGTGACTTGTTTTCAGAATAAAATAATGGGAAAACATTTTCTCTTTTTAAAGGAGAAATTTTTTTTCATGTTAGTGACTCAAAGCATAAGTGGGTCCCACTTTGAATTTTTTTCTCTTTCCACTATTTTGTGGGACCCACTTATGCTATGGGTCATTAACATGAGAAAAATTTTCTCCTCTAAAAAAATGAGAATGTTTTCCCAATAATAAAACCACGCAGAGGAAGATGTCAATGGCGCCTTGATTCCACAGCCACTTACCTAATACCTGGTCATGCTGTGCGGTAACACACACACACAGTAACACAGATGCTCTCTTGTCTCGGCTTGCATGTGGAGTCCGCTCAGTTGGTTGGCCTCTTGTACACACGCGTCTACACTTGCATCTGTTATTCATTCACTATATTTAAAATTATTATAAAAATACGAATTAAGTTTATTTAATTCAAAATCAGTTTTAATATGTAATATATTGAATATATAAAAGTTTGAAGGGCTTATATATATATATATTCTTGATCCTACATATTTTCATATATGTATAAAAGATAAAATTATTATTTATATATAAGAAATATTAATCCATTTATATATAAATTTAATGTCTCTCAAGTTATAAGAGATATATTTTATTTTCTATATACACATAATAGTATGTGGAGTCCATATTTTTTCTCTTCTCTTTACATGTTCCCACATGGGTCACATATATTTTTATATATATAGAATTACCTACAACATAAAAAAATATTAATCCTTTTATATATACTAAAAAACTAATCAGTAAACGAGAATTTTTTTTTTTCTAAATAAAAAAGTAAATTAATATGGGAAGAATGTTTGTACTTTTAAAGGATGGTTATTTTAATTAAGAATAGTATTTTTTTATTTAAAATTTAAATTTGCAAAAACAATCGCCTCTTATTATTTTTATTATTTATTTTTTTATCACTTAAAATAACATAAATTTATATTTTTTAAAAGAACAAAGTAACAAACACTAATTTCAATTAATATTTATAGAATTTTATAATTTCGCATGTTACCTGATAATTAAAATCTTATGTTATAGAAATAAAAATATACGAAACTCATATATTAAAAAAAAATTATAAGGATAACAAAAAAAAAAAATTATATGCAAAACTCAGATCAATGCAAAAATAAAAAAGTATGTTGCATAGAGTTATAAAACCATATAAGCATAAAACAAAGGAAAATACAAGTGTTATGTTACTGACAAACTATTATCCCTAAAACAAAATACTGATTATTACTTTAAAAAGTTTCCAGAAAAATATTTCACTTATAAGTCGACACTAAACTCCAGTCTAGTTGCGTTGTTATCAAATCATCCAGTCTAGTGGTGTTGCAGAATCGTCTCCATTCTCTTTCTCAATGGCCGTGCGAACCCTACTGAGCAGAAAAACCCTAACCTCCGTGCTCCGCAATGACCCAAAACCGTTGGGAGCGGGCATAGCAGCAACAACTCATTCCCGTGGCTTGCATGTCTTCACGGTACCCGATCTCGATTACGACTATGGCGCTCTGGAGCCTGCTATCAGTGGTGAAATCATGCAGCTCCATCACCAGAAGCACCATCAGGCTTACGTCACCAATTACAACAAGGCTTTCGAGCAACTTCAAGATGCAATCAGCAAGGCCGATTCCTCTACCATCGTTAAGCTCCAGAGTGCTATCAAGTTCAATGGTGGAGGTCAGCTTCCCCCCTTTTTATTTTTTTTTATTTTTATGTTTTTTCAATTTTCATTTTCTGGTTAATTTGCTGAAAAATTAAGGCATGTGCGTGATTTGTTGACGGAAATAAAATTGATTCATGAATTGGTCATTGTAGCTTTACTTGGGTTATTGTGAATGATAAGTTAGTTGATCTTTGTTGACACTAACTGAGATATAAAATAGAAGCAGGGGATTGGGAATTTTGCTTTACACAATCTTGTGATGTTGGTTGTCGAACTCTTTGGATGATGGAATATGATCTTTTCCCTTGATGGCGTGTAGTATCCCGATGTGCCAGTGATATATGAGGCAGAGGTATAGACCTATGCTCAATGGAGAGTAATAACCGGTGGTGAGAATTCAGCCTCCTCCGGAAATGATGCGTAGAAGTTGTCTCTTCAATGGCTGAAGAGGGTTATAATTTATAAATAGGTAGGGAGATTTTCTTAAGATGAGCCATAACCGTCTTGCCCATATAGGTCTCACTGCATGTGATGCAAACACACTCACCTGATGCGTAAGGTATGAGGTGTGCAGGGGAGTGAGATGCTCTACAATGACGGTCTAAAAGTCTCACTTTAGGGATGCAGGGGTGTAACCCCTTATGTGGGCCTTAATGCCGGCCCAATGAATTGGGATAGTGTGTCCGGTCCGGAACAGTAGTGAAAGCAACATGAAGGGATGGTTATTGTCTCTACTGAGATGAATTGTTTGATAAGAATGAATAGGGTGTTGTATGACTGTTGTGCAATCTGGAAGTTATTTGATGCCTTTTTAATAATTACCCTTTGAGGGAAATTATGCCTGGTTTTAAAATGAATCAAATAAACTTTTCAGTGAAGGAGCTTGGAAATATTTTCCGTGGATTTCAATATCGCTTAATTTAGGTACGACTAATAATCATTTGCTGCAGGTCATATCAACCATTCTATTTTCTGGAAAAATCTAGCTCCTGTTCGTGTAAGTTTATACCTTAACTCTGTTTTATGGAAAGGGTTTTGTCTTCAGAGATTCTTTTGCCTTATACTTCACATCTTGTGTAGGAAGGAGGTGGTGAGCCACCCAAGGGTTCCCTGGGATGGGCCATTGACACACATTTTGGTTCTTTGGAAGCATTGATACAAAAGGTTAATGCAGAAGGTGCAGCCTTACAGGGTTCTGGATGGGTGGTAAGTTGTGCAGATTCTTAAAATTCCATCATTGTCTTGTATCCTTGCATATCATTAGAGTTTAATGCCTCAGTCGCTATTTGAAGTGCCCTGTTGCCTTTTATTCAATTCGTATTGCTTTTCCAGTGGCTTGGTCTGGACAAAGAGTTGAAGAGGCTTGTAGTTGAGACCACTGCAAATCAGGTAAACTGCCCCCCTCTCCCCTTCCACCTCCAGTGCCACACTTCCATTTCCACATGATGCCAAGAGGCAAAGTAGATCGGCTATAGCAAATTTTTTGGTTTGGCTGCTAATTCTGGCTTTTTCAGTAAATTTTGTATTTCTGTTGCATATTATGTCACAGCATTCAAGATCCTTTTACGGTATATTGCTGTTACCAATAGTCTATAATCCTTACATTAAATCACTGAGATTCAGTAGTCAAGTATGTATTGCTTATCCTAGTTTTTGGGTTAATTCTTCTGATATTTCAAACAATGGGTCAAGCTCTAAAAACAAAGTTTTATTATTGTAATGACTCTGTAAACTGGGTGGGTTTTTTGAGGCTTAGAGCTTATTTATAAGTATAGTTATATATTCAGATTTTAGTCCTTATAGTTTTACTCACTTTTTAAATTGCTTTCTATAGTTTTTTCTTATTTGAAATTGGGTCCTCATGTTTTAAATTTTTTTAGTCAAGTCACTGCCTACCCCCATAAATTCTTATATCTCATCTAAAGTGAGAACATCTTGCCTGGTAGACAAAATGCATTGTATGCATATCAAGCAATTCATACTTGTGTACATTAATAGGAACTAGAAACTTAGCCAGGCTAGAATTAGGCAGAAAAGGATATGAGAGAGAGAGAGATGCTGAGAGAAAGAGTTCTGTTATGGTAAGAATACAAGGTGGGGATCCACCTTATAAGCATTGCGCCTTCCAACTGAGAGACTCAGTTAAAGAATGATTATTCCAGAATGCCCCAAAGCTGTACATTTTCCGTTATTTAACCTTAACTACATAGCTACTAGTGTAACTGATTGAAACTAACCGACGAGCCCCCTATTGTTTAATCCTTCTTGCATACACCTTCCAGATCCACTTTTTTTTTTTTGGCTGAGGCTCGTGGTTAACATTAAAATTGACAGGGGACTTGATTAAATTTTTTTAAAATTACCAGGACTTAATTCCAAAGAAAAAAAAGATTCGGTGCACATTTAAAATTGAGTGACATTGTTGGGACTAAATATATATTAAATCTTTTTTCCTATTTTCATAATTTTTATCTTATCTGGACTCTGGACTGTGGAGGACTTTGCAAATGTTATAGGATATAGACAGATTGCTGTGGTGGAAACTGGAGAATAGAGAAGATACTTGTTAATGGTTTTCCCCTTTCCTCATGCTCATTATTTGAGCTTCTGTACACTATGTTTATCATCTGTGCATTCATTATTTTGAGTTTCTGGTTCGTTAATTTTCAAATGTAATTTTGAACATTTGTTTTGCAGGACCCGCTGGTTACTAAGGGAGCAAGTTTGGTTCCAATTCTTGGTATAGATGTTTGGGAGCATGCATACTACCTTCAGGTAAAATTTTGGATTTGGTGGTTCTCTAGTGACAGCGTAATTCTGTAGTGACATTATTTGAAGGCTGTTTATCTTCTCAGTGTGGTGATTATGACTTACATTATGCAAAGAAATGTGGTACTGACAAATTTATTAATTTTTGGGAAATTTCAAAAACTTTCCCCATGTAACAAAAAAATTGTTTTTAACATTTTTCTTGTATGCTGCTAAACAAGAAAAATTCGTTCTTTTGTATGTCCTTGAGAAAATGGAGTGAAGAAAAAAAGTATGATGCATAAGAATGGGTGGTAAGGATGAAGGTTCTAAGGGGAGGTGAAACCTAAACAAAAACTCATAATATGAAGGCTTACAAACATGAGGTCTCAAGGAAACAAACTAAGGAGAAGGAACTAAATTCGCCTTTTATGAGGAGCTTATATGGAGTAGATACTGTTTGAGACGTATTAAAATCAAGACCTGTATAGATTCCTACAAAAACCTTAAACATATAGATTCTTTTTCAACTAATTATATGCTCTGAATTTCTACTTCATCATTGTTGACTTGAAACATTTTTCTAGTGCTTTTTTTTTTAAAAAATTTATTTGCATCTTGATATTCCTGTGTGGTTCTAGTGCATGAGAATGTGAAATAGATCTTGCTTGCTTGTATTAACTTTGTCTGAACCCAAACTAGTACTAAGAGACAAGAAGCAAATGATGCCACAGCAGCATCTGAAGTTTCAGAAGTTTATGATTAAGTTCCATTAATTTTAAATAATGAATGTAGGAAAGAAATGGAAAATTTTCTATTATTTTACTTATGATGGTTACATTTCTTTGACAGCTTAATTGATTCAAAAAGGTAAATTAACGGTTTACTTAAGCTTATTATTTTGAGAATTCAGGTCGATGATATGTTACAACTCACTTTATAATATTCATTTCAGGTCAATGATATGTTACAACTTACAATATAATATTCATTTTTTTCCTCCCTTTCTCTCCCTCTATATCACCCCATCTATCTCTGCGACACAGATATCTATCAATCTCTATATCACCCCATTTATCTTTCTGAGACACACACAAACAAACAAAATCTAGATGCACGTCAGTTTTCAAAAGTTTTTCTGAGCTATGCTTGTTTTTCCAATTGCAGTACAAAAATGTTAAACCGGACTATTTGAAGAACATTTGGAAAGTTATTAACTGGAAATATGCCAGTGAAGTGTATGAGAAAGAGAGTTCTTAGTCTGAAAGTGCTGCTTGATATGGAGCGTGAGATGACAGGTTTGCACCACGGTTACAGACGGGAATAAAATGGTGTATTGTGACATATCGCACCTTCATTAGGATCCAGGTTATTTTATAAGAAATAACTATTTATGTATTTGTAATGAAGAACCTTGAGCTATATATGGCTGCATTCCTTGTTCTATGTACCTTTAATGGTCTGCTCAAGTCTTGTGAATTCTCTGATGCTCTGGTAAGATACTATTCTTGTCTAGCGATGTATTTTTCTTTTGCTTTTAGGGTGTGATCCTTTTGCTCGAATAAGACTATTACGGAGTTGTGAAAATTAAGTCCTCCAATTAATACATTTGCTGGATGAACAGGTTGGAGTTCTTACTCTTCTACCTTAAGCATAGACAATAAGCTATTTATTATTGATAATTGGCCGTCTTGCATAAGCTTATCTGGTTGAGCTCTCATTAGTTGGTTGATTTTAATGGCACAATATGATAAATTGTTTTGGGAATCTCAAAACATTTCTATTGATGAAAAAATTCAACAAAATATCAAAAAATGGGGAAAGAGGGAAAAACAATTTTACGAAGTTGCCGGTTGTGTCTGTTGGTTTCAACATTCAAGTTGAAAATGCATTCCTTGATATCTGAGAGTTGATGCCTGAGAATTAAGCTTTGTTCTATACTTTCTGCCCGAAAAATAAGCTTTTCAGTGAACAGTTTGGTAATATATTTTTTTTACAAATCAAAATGTTTTAATTGAGAGACATGGTTACGACACTTGATAATTTTTTGTTCCCCTGTAATGCATTCACCACGTACATGTAAGAAGAAAGGAATGCCGTATTCACCATCCAAAGTATGAAGAAAATTAATGCTTTCATTAAGCTGTTCATCATTGTTAAAGCCCTCTAAGTTAATCTAATGTTGATGACTTACTTTCGTTCCATGTTTGAACAAGAATAATGTTTTGTGATGTTGGGTGTCTTGTGGTGAAATGTTTTGGTGTTTAGGCTTTCTACCATGTTCAAAATGATCAATATATAGAGATAAATATACGAAGCAATCTTAGAGCAATTGTATCTTATTTACAATATTAGCTTTTTGTTTTCTCCGTTAACATTCTCACACCTATATTAATGTTAAAATAAAATGTCTTATATCTTATCTTAATCAATCTACTTGCACCTAATGATTTAATTTATTAGTTAATTGACCTAAATTTTAAAAGATTTAGAGTGTAATTTACGCCGATGTAAAATAATTTGGCCAAGTTAACCTTACGAGAAAATTAAAATTTTATTTTTACAACGATAAAAAGGTATAAATACCTTTAATTAAATAAGTTAAGTATAATTGGATTGATTTCGCATAGGAAAAAATATTTAAGATTAATTTATGAATATTAAGAGTGTAAATAAATTTCTTGTGGATATTGCAAATAACTTATTCAGACCTAGATTTTTAGGTTTTTCTTTTTATAAAGAGAATGAGCTTAAGTTACTTGCAGAATATTTAGAGTATATTATAAATTTAATTGTGTCAGAGTGTAGGTTTAATATGGCCTTTGAAAAGAAAAATGTTTTCATATAAGAGCACATGATTTATTGATTAACTATGATAATAAAAATTGTGTTTAATAAAAAACATTTATGAGTATTTTAAGGAGAGAATGATTAAGATATTAGAGTGAACTGTTGTGGATTTAAAACTAGATTTGTATCCCTCAATATAGTATGTCAACATGAAGATGCTCAAAAAAAATAGTGATATAGACCAAAGTTCAAGGTGAGTCACTGAAAGTGCTATCGCAGAGAGAGAGCTGCAAATAGGGGGTATATAGGCAACGATGGTTCCAAAATCTAATAAAGTAACAATTTATAAATGTGATATAAATGAGGTGTATCCTCTATTGAAGAGGAGGAATTTATATAGGGGAGTGAGTATTCTATAATTATAAGAGAAAGAGAGAGATCCATTATTGCATTGAGACACTATTTCATCATGGTGAGTGTATAATGGTGAGCTATGCGAGGAGAAAGGGATTCCTGTGGTGAGCTCTAAATCTAAAAGGGCCTTTAACATAGAGAAAATTATTCTCATTTGAAAATTAGGACAATATTAACGTCATTATTATTAGAAAAAAGTGTTCCTCCTGTAAAAAAAAGGTTTAGAGTTTGATTCTTAAATATTCAGTGGCATCCCAATAATTTGGTGGGCCTAAAACTTAAAACCAAAAAAGGCCAGGGGTTAAAAAACTTAAAAACCCAAACTTTTAGTGAGTTATTGGAAGTATTGAATCGGGCTAATTGCTGCGACCTATTATATAAAACCCTAGTTTGTGCCTTCAGCCGCATAACCCTAGACTGTGCCATCTCCAGCATCTGCAGAACCCTAATTTGCCTGGGTGCTCTTCACCATGGTTTGGGATCAGATCTTACTCTCCTTCACTGTTATTCTGTTAGGGTTTTGCTCTTATTCTTCAATCTTCTCCTTTTCAGACATTCAAGCGCAGGAATGGAGGTCGCAACAAGCATGGTCGTGGCCATGTGAAATTCATCAGATGTTCCAACTGCGGCAAATGCTGCCCCAAGGTATTTTACTTCTTCGTACCTTCGAAATTTTTGTGCAGCAAATCAATGAAGTTTCGGTATTTGACATTGGGTTTGTGATCTCCGTGATAAAATAACACAGGACAAGAGCATCAAACGTTTTTTGGTGAGGAATATTGTGGAACAAGCTGCTGTCAGAGATGTTCAGGAGGCCTGTGTCTATGAACGTAATTCTCTTTATTTTCTCTTTTTTTTTTGGGTGAAAATATAACATAATGTTATGTCACTTAATTCATTGATTTGATTTTGTTACTTGTAGAATACACACTCCCGAAACTGTATGTGAAGATGCAATATTGCGTCTCCTGTGCGATCCACTCTCACGTTGTTAGAGTGCGTTCTCGCACTGATAGGAGGAAGCGTGAGCCTCCACAGCGCTTCATTAGGCGCAGGGTAAGTCTATTTTACATTTTCAGGCTTTTGATTTCCTTTCTTGTTTTACATTTTCTGCTCTACTCCTGCGTGTTATTAATAGGATTATAGTGTGGTCAAAATGGTTTTATTAACCTATAGTCAAGTGGATACATATTTAGAACGCAAGCAAAAGCTTGTTTTTTGTTTATAATTAGTGGAGTCACACAATTGACCTTGAAATCGCGTATAGAGAGCTTTACAGTAATAGAAATAACTGAGTTTGGACACATGGACCCTTATTTAATCGAATTTGTGTATGTTCCTTTCTTGCATTGAGCTATCTGATTGAGAACTTGATTTACAAATATGGAACTTATTCCTCTATCATTTTCAAATGTGATGTCAATTTTACAATATTTTACAGATTGTTGAAAAGATCAGTTCCTTTTCATGTTTGTTTAATTTTATAGTCACTTGAGAATGTGAATGTGACTGTGAAGGCCTGATATTGAAGAATAGGATGTCTTCCTCAGGCAAAGCCAATAGCTATTATATTTGTGCCAAAACCACACCTAATGGGAAGCTGTTAGGGATAGACTTGTTAGAAGAAGATGACTTGTTAGGAATGTAGGAGAAGATGCTATTATATTTGTGCCAAAACACCTAACAAGTCATTTAAATTTCAGTTGACTGTAGGAGAAGATGCTATATCTCTAAGAATAGACTTGTTAGGAATGGTTGATCAGTAGCTGGTTATTATTTTCTATAATAAATTATGGATTTATGTTTCACTTGGTGGTGTTTGATGGGTTTATTTGGTTCTCTTTTCTAGGATGATGCACCAAGGCCCGGTCAACCTGGTCAAGCACCTCGTCCTGCTGGAGCAGGACCTCCTGCCCGTGCTTAAATGCAAATTTTAAGATTTTAGGTCTTGTTGGATCAGTTTTATATGATAAACGAAATTCTCTCATGGTTGATTTTTGAAATTTCAGTTTTGCGGAGGGATATTATGTTTTCTTCTAATTGTTTGCTTTATTCCATCGACGATACCTACATTTTCAGTTGTTATAATTTGGTGGTTTTAATGAGAATTGACATTGATATATAAATTTTTTTAGCCTTGTGAGTAAGTCGTATCATTCATATTCACCCATTAATAAAGGAAGAAAAAAATTGATGTCTCTAAAATAGGTTGAAACTGGTCTTTTAACGAATCTACTTTGGACGACTGTAGTCTATTTGATGATTATATTTAATATATTATTCGATAAGGTGTATGTAGAAACGAACCTCGTTTTATCACCTTTCCTCGTATATTGTCTGAGGATGGGTTTAGGTTTTTATGTTTTTTTTTCTCTATTTTTATTCGTAGTTCTTGATTTTTTTAAAGATATATTTAGGCAGGAAATTTCTTTAATATTTTTATTTTGAAGTCAATATGTATTGCCAATAAATATTTGTGGTAATAGGAACTTGTGTTACGGAAATACGCTGCCGCGTAATAAACCAATCGTCGAAGATGCGTTGTTGAAGCAGTTAATCAATGATCAAGAACTGGATTTTTTAAAGATTCACACAGATGAAACTAATCTGTTTACGTATCTGTTAAGAGTAATAGAATGATCAGGTTAGTACTACGCTTGTTATGCATTGGAAGACTAGGATTTATATACTGGTTAAGGCTTAGCTGTTTTGTAAACTAAGGTCAGCTATAAATAGTTAGCCACTAGACACGTAAGAGTTAACATTTTTTTTTTCGTATAGGGGAGGGATTAGGATGCAAACAGAGTAACAACTCTAGGTTATGTCTTTGTTCCTATCAAGTCTGTGACTATCACAAGCAACCCATTCTAAATTCCTTTCTTGAGAGCTCAAATGACCTTGAATTACCACCATTCATGTCTGTCTCAGAATGAACCTCCACTTGTTGCTTTCTCTGAGGTGGTTGAAGCAAAGCATTATGATTCTTCAGAGGTGCAAATCTCCTTGGCCTGGTCACCCTTACGCGCATATCCCTATAGGAATTACGAGTCTGCAAGATTTAACCATGTTGGGGATGATATTGTGAGTTACCTCAACATAATATAAAGAGATAAAGGTTGATAACAAAAACAACATACAATGTATGGTATATATGGGCCTGTTCCTCGTGATTTCCTTCTTTCTTCAAGGCTGTAAGTTGCTTGTGAAACGTTTTGAAGATAGAGTGTCTTTCTTAGAATTGGGACATATACTTGGGTAGCCCTTGGATAGAACATACTCCATTTTTGCTGTGTCCATAATGCAAGCATATAAGCCTGAGGAGGCAATGATGGAAAACTGGGATGTGCAGTGAGGGGTGAGGCATAATTAGAATACAACTGAAGAAGGACAGGCTCTTCAGATCTTCCAGTACCGAATGCAGGAACAGGAAGTTCAACATCTAGCCTTTGTCCTTTCCCATTTCTATCCAAACTGTTGTTGAAAATCTTCTCGATCTCTGCGCCCATGCATTCTCCTGGAAGTGTGAGAATCTCCTTAAGCTTTCGAGCACCAAAGGAAAGAGCCAATCTTATTCGATGTAAATTGCCTGTAAGTGAAACATAAATATTCAGTTTAAGGAAGTAACCATTACAGTATGAAACATCACAATCTCTATAATTATTTCAGCATCATATATAAAACTTTAAAGCCAACACTGGAGCATATTTTAAATATAAGTATCTGTAATGATATTGGAACAAGCCGTGATGAATTTGTCACTAGCATGCAACAACGTAGTGAACTTGTAGATCTTTTCCAACCAACCAAGCGTATAATATTTCCCCTGATAGATTGATGCTTTAGTAGGCCAAATTACATCTGCTGACCTGACACTACGGCCAAGGTTGTTGTCGTTTCTTAGAGGATCCAAAATGTTCATGTTCTTAGTGGTAAATTCATGGGTCATAGTGTCACATGCCCTTGCTGGAACAGAGCACATATCCCTGTAATTTATAACAAACTCTTTATTCAGCAATAATTCACCCCGATCACATTCTGGTGTCTCTGCAACAAGCGAGTTGGGATTATCAAGGACTGAAGATTAAAAATATAATTCCATCAAATCATGCAGACATCCAATTGCATATGCACCCCAACAACACCTACCAACAATTTCTGGAAGGGAAGAGAAGGCTTTTGCTCCGTCTACACTGACATAATGATGCTCCCAATCAAATGTGCGTTAGTAGTCCAGAAATCTGTAAAGCACCTGCTAGTAGTACCAGTTCAGGGGTTTCATTCTTTGTTGGAAATATTAATAATATAGTATGTTCATATATTAAGCGACAACATGGTTATTTGGGTCTATATGGGCTGAAGCCCAATAGCTTGCATTATTTTTAGAGATTCCTAAGCTTGAGGTAACACTGTTGAGCATTCCAAATTTAATGCCTCTTGATGTAATACTTCAAGCGCCTCAAAACCCTTCTCTCTCAAACTCATTAACTCTATAAAGAACCAATTTAATCCAAAATCTTAAGCTGGTGGGTGAGACTACATTAATGATTTTATATATCTCAAACACGTTCTCTCACAAAAGAGCCCATTGGGCTTGAAAGATAAATAATGCATCAGACTCAACCTACCTCAGCCTACCTGTGCTAAGAAATTTCACAAAGAAAATAAGGTGCAACAAGGATCGAACCCACGACATCGAAGCTCTGAAACAATGTAAAGAACCAAATACATGTGGGGGCAAAGGATATAAAGGTTGATGAGGGAACAAAATAGAGTGAGATATCTGGTTATGAAGAATCGAAGAAGACAAGCGATTAATGAAATAACATGCAGAATAGCATCACCTCAGAATTTGTAGGGAACATTGCCATCAATTAACAATGCATGAATAGTCTCAACAAGGCGACGATTCTTGCGTTTGGCTACACCATTTTGCTAGAGTGTATGAGGACAAGACTTTTGATGAAGAATGTCATTAGACGAAAAGAATTGCTGAGACAAATACTCACAAGCATTATCACTATGAAAAGTATGAATGGGAATACCAAACTTAGTTTTGATATCATTATAAAATAACTAAAAAACAGAAAATAACTCAGAATGATTTTTCATTAAAAATAACCAAATACGTATGGAATAATCATTAATAAATGTAAAAAAAATACTTAAACCCTAAAGTAGAAGGATGAAGACTAGGCCCCCAAATATCAGAGTGGACCACAGAAAAAAGGGACAAAGCTTGGTGAATAAGACAACTTTGTACTGTGAGTATGTTTCCCAAATTGACAAGACTTTCAATGTAAATTAGAAAGAGACGATAAAAGGGGAACCATCCTGAAGCTTGACAAGACTTAGATGACCCAAACGAGCATAGATAGTGAGGGATGAATCCAAAGTAGAGCAGGCTGAAGAAGAAGAAAAAATTTAATAAAGACCATGAGACTCATATACTTTGATAATCTCCTTCCCCGAATTCTGATCCTACAAAATGACAGAAGTTTTAGTAAAAGAAATTACATAATCAATGAATTTGGTCAAATGGCTAATGGAAAGTAAGTTAAAAGGAGAATTTTAGAACATAGAGAACATGATCCAGAGATAAATTGAAAAAAAGAAGAAATGTGCTGATCCCACGAGATTAGACTAAAAACTCATTGGCCATGGTAATAGTAGGAAAGGAACCAGTTGGAGCAATGGAAGTAGAAGTACCAGATGCTTGCTTCTCAGACCATCAATTCACGAATTCATTAAGAAGAGCTGCAGGAGGTTGTGATGCAAAAGGTAACCTTTGATCAACAACACTAGATGGAGCCTGAGCAACATGAGCACTCCGAGGAGGCTGCGGTGGCTTGCCATGGAGCTTCCAACAGTATGATTGATCTGATGACAATGAATGCAGAGTAGCCGACCCTTAGAGGGTCTACGTCCATTACCAGAGCCCGGAGCAGCAAGGGCAGAAGAATTAGAGGTGTCAACCGGGGAGACATGGTGCATAACAGGTGTTGTTGATATAGATGGCTTAGGTGGAATCCTAAGCAAAGTAGACATCAAAGAATCTAATATAGGAATAGTAGCAGATCCCAAAATCAGAATAAACTGAGAAAAGGAACATTTTTGAGTATAAAAAAGATAAAGCAGCGGCAATGGCATTAGAGATGCTCCTTTTTCACATAGGATGTATTATTCCAGGAATAATACATTAGCTTTAACGAGGTAAAGTTAGTTAGATGCCCAATGGGAAACTGTACAGGTATTTTAGTTTTTAGTATCTCTTATGGGTCCATATTTTAGAAAGCTCAATAAGGGCAAACAACTAAGAGGGTGTAAAAAATTATTTCAACCCAAGCTTAAGCTGTTAAGTGAGATTACATTAATGGTTTTATATAATTCTAACACACCCTATCACATGAGAGCCCATTGGGCTTGAAGGATGGACAATGCATAAGCTCACCTACCTGTGCTAAGAAACTCCGCAATATTGAATTAAATGAGGGACGATGAAGATCAAACCCTTGACGTATATGAGGCTCTGATACCATATAAAGAATCAATTCAACCCAAAAATTTTAACTGTTACGTGAAGCTACATTAATGGTTTTATATAACTCTAACAGAGAGAAATAAGGAAAAATTCTCAAAAGATATCAATCCTACTATATCTTCGGCGGGCCAAGTATTGGATCCCCAAAATATATCCAAGGTCCAAAATTTCACTACCCACAACTAAACTTTATAAATACGAGATAAAGGCAATAGATAATGACAACGATATAAGTTAAAGTATTTATTTTTATGATAAAATAAAAAAATTAATAAAGATAAAATATTTTAAATGCAAATGATATACAAGAAGGTGAGTTGTGTAGGTTTTAAATGTTGGCATATTGAATAGTATAATTTGAAACTTATTCTACGACGTAATTTTTTTATTATTATTATTATTAGGATTCAACCAAGAGGAATAGTTATTTGATGAAAATAAATATAGAAGGATTAGGGTTTTTATTTTATTTTTAATTCAACCCAATTTAATCCAATTAGAATATTGTTGGATCCATATTGAGATAGTTCCATTCTCATAACTCAAACAAGTTTGAAAATGGATTCTCTCATATTAAAAAAAACATGACATGGTTATG